TAATCTGGGTTATTTCAATTATTTTTGGTAGTTGAACTCCCTAATGTCCCTCATTGGTATAAATTCATTGATAAACGTTGCTTCTTTACAGACATAAGAGGCACAGAAGACGAAAAAATGAAATTCCGTAACATTTGGCCAAGCCATTGGGTTAAAAATTAAATTGGCTTTGCAACCTGAAAAAAAAACAAGAAAATTTCACTTTTTTCAAAAAGCTAAAAAACTCGAATCCTTATTATCACGCTGCATCAGAGTGGTTCGAAGCGCCAAATCTATGACCCGGTGCAGTTTTGAACACTCTTTGGAATGAGATGTTGCAAAAAAATCGGTCTAGAACTGAAGGAGAAAATGGCCAAATACTGCAAACAGCGCTTTTTCCTTGATTTCGCCGTACCATATTTTGAAAATGCTTTAACTCGGTCAATACGGGCTTTAAAATTATGAAACAAATTCCATAATCCCATTATTGCACGAGGAGTCGAATAAGCCCATTAAAATGGTATGTTAGTTTTTCATGTTCCAGCCCTATGGGTATATGCTCGAAAGGCTTCTACCTGCTCTCTTAAAACATTTCTTTTATGTTAGTATATTTGTTAATCAGCTTCGTAATACATGAGCAAGATAAAACTTTTCCTGGATTATAAACTATCTGAAGTCTGTTATCAAATGTTGACTTTTTGTATAATTACTTACTAAGTTGTTTTTTTTTGAATAATGTTCGCTTATTCATAGAAATCCTCGATATCTCTGACGTATACGGGATTATGTATAGTGAGAGCATATAATAATGAGCACATCTGTTAGACAATATAGTACATATTAATGTTCCAATAAATACATCACATACAATTCAGTCACAATAGCATCGACCGTTATAATCAAGGCAAGTGGCATTATAATATACTATTATTCCAATCAAAAGTTTGAAAGTGTACACTCTATAGTAACTTAAGATTACTACAGGATTTTAGAAAGCGACATGGTAGAAGAAAAATGGTCTATCTTATATAATAGAGTTACAACTTTCACAAATTTATGCCTATAAACGCATCTTTGTGACTATTTTATCATACATTTTCTTTTTTTGTAGAAACAAATCCTCTACGAAATGAAGTACTTAGTTTTTGTTTTGGCTTTATCAATAAGTATTATGGCTGTTTACAGTCGTAAAGAGTAAGTATTAAAAGTTCCAAAATACTATAATGTTATAGAGTGTGTCTACTCTATATACGTTAGTAATGAGGTCGTATGAGGAAACAAATATTTTATTTAGACCGCTTGATTATTGAAATGTTTAGACAGCGCTCGGCAAACACTGTACAGTATGTGAATCAGTTTGTAACATCCAGGCTTCTGACTACGCTTTTGTTTCTGGATCATAGTGAAAAAACTACTATTTATCGACAGTTGTTCTATAATGTCTAATACACAGTGAGACCAACATCCTTCAAATCTTTGTAATGAAAATGACTGCAGAACTCAGAATGAATCTGTTTTGTTCATCGTTCAGTTCGTGAGACATTCATCAAGTACAGAAAGGGAATCGTGACATTCACTGCTAAAGAGGCAGTACTAAACATCTATTGTCTTTCTTATATGTAGAATGAATAGCGTATTCAATTTTATTTAAACAACTCATATCAATTGTTTGTTCATAGAAGTTACAGATTGACTTACACCGTTAGTATCTTTGACGGTGAAAGTATCGTGTTAAAACAAGCGAAACTAACCAAAAACTGAATGATGTAAAGGCATGCGTGATCCTGCAATGCCTACACCAAATGAGCATGACTTTCCTTCTAGAGCCATTCAACGTTCTAGTCATATGGAATCATACTCTAAAAGTGTCTTAGACTAGTTCAAGAGTCGTATAAAAATTCCCTCCAACTATCCTAGAAAGACACAAAATGCAATGACAAAGAAGATAAGTTACTGTGAAAGTTAGTATGTTCAAATATGTTCAAAGATTATACTAATTTCTGTTGAGCTGTAGTATCCAGAAGGACAAAGTGAAGAAGTTTTCGAGTAGACTATATGATTTGAGAACCTTAGTTCTATTTGAGCTTCCATCCGACAACAAGAAATTGTGCTTTTATAGGTGTGAATGTGATGCACGTACTGATACTACAGTGCCTGTGATGGTGAAAGGTTTTGGTACAATAGATGAATGTGGAGTTGGCTTGATAAATACATGTTCATGTACACATGCAGCAATGACTGGATGTAGTGCAAAGTGCGAAAAAACAGTGCAAGAATGGGTAAAAGCAAAATGTCCCGGTGCACTTTTTGGTGTTCATCGTGGACTAATTATGAGTTATTATCATGGAGATTGTGAAAAAGGCTATGGCACTGTACGCTACGTGTGTCCTTGACAGAAAATTAAGAAATGATGTTTTAATTTTTTTTATCGACAGTTGTGCAAATCGATGATTGATTGAATAAAGGCTATTTTACAGGCGAAATATAGAAGAAAAACGATGGCACTGGTTAGCATTATTACCTATACATAATCCCGTATACGTCAGAGATATCCAGGGTTTCTATGAATAAGCGAACATTATTCACAAAAAAAAAGTTTAATGAATAGTTATGATGTTAGATATTTTGTGTACCCTCACTTATTCGTTAGTATGCGTATTTTCAAATAACCATCGAATACAGTTCTAAATTGGATCTCAGAACCTTAAAACCATTTCTTTTATATTAGCATATTTGTTAATTTGTTTCTTAATTCATGAACGAGTTCGAGTTGATCACGCATTATTTTAAGTCTAAATGAATTAATCAATTCAAAATTACAACAAGTTCAGCTTAAATTATGGGGACTAATCAATACTAAGTGATTATCCACGAGCGATTTTTGTTAGTGAAAACCTTCTTATTTGTATAAACCTTTTTTTTGGAAAAATTGGATAAAGCACAAAGGGCAATATGACGATGTTTCTACTCTTTGAAAAAAAGTACATGCAGAATCTTTTAGGGATTCTCTTCTTAAATCTCACACCGAAGCTGTTCTGTTCAAAAGTTTTGATATGTGGCCTTCATATTTTCTCGATAAATGTGTTCCATCTGACAAAGAAAATTCGGTATTAAGTGTTTGTAAAAGTATCCAGTACATTTAATAGAGAGGAAACGTTAAGGTGTCGGCTATTTGCTTTAGCTAATCACAACAGATAAGGTTTATGTGCGATATTGGAAACAAAGGAGATAGCTTTAGTTGGTTTCTGGATACAACACATGAGAATAAATGTATTTACATTCGTCTTTCGTTGGTAATAACTAAATCATCAAATTCAAGGTGGTATATATATATTTTACATTTTCCTTTTTTGGTGATAGAATTGTAATAAACTAAAAGCAATGATTCTGATAGAGTTTTAAACACAAAGACTTACAATGTTTTAAATGTTTTTTACATTCATAGGATTCTTCGGCAGGTTTTGCTCTACAAAATGAGGTATGACGGAATTTGTATTTGAGAAGGCGACAACAGGAAAAATATTAACCAATTCCGACAAATTCGTCATCAATTCCAATTCCAATTTTACCTTTTAAAAAAATAGCCTATAATATTTAATCTAGTGTAGATGCAAAACTTCCAAATAGCATATTCTGTAGAGAAAAATCGACGCTACAATCCTACATTGTGGGTAAAAAGTAGTAACAACTGATTTGAGAGATACCATTATTTTCGCAGCTGCAGCAAAAAATCAATTCTAGAATTGGTTCATGTCCAGTCACATCACACGTGCAGTACCTGAATATTGTTAACCACCGCGCATGATGGTCTAAGTCAAGGCCTATCTGATTGCATCATTGGTATCAATAGAACTGCGCCATCTAAAAATCGCCCGTCAAAGGATTAATATAAACATAAACATGTTCACGGTTGACTGCACATACTTCAACAGTTTCATTACAAATATCATCAACACTGTCTCATGATTTTAAGTATCTAGTTTTCCGCCAGTCAGGTTTTGAGGCTATTTTTAGGCTTCTAGGTTGTTTTCGCCTAATAGTAAAGAACGCACAATTCATTCGGGAAGTACCAGAATGGGTTAAGAACTTCAGAACATGGTTAGTTTTGTCTCCTAAAAGTGATTATGCATTGAAAATCATACTTTGTTCAATTGTTTCCTGACAAAAACCACAACTCGCACCCAGCCCATAAAAAGAAGTATGTTTCGTTTTACTGGTCACCCAGCGGAGTTTTTTTTATAACTCCGCAAAAAACCTGTCGTGTATTAAAAAATGGTTTTACACCCGTCAAAGTGGACATCTTATTTACGGCCCTGATTGTCTGTGTTTCTTTTAGTCAACTTATCTGTAAACTAGTTCCACAGCATGACTGAGTGATTTGTAAATAGTTGAAAACGAATTGAAAGTTCCTTTACTCTGTCTTAGGTGAAAAGCTCTAGAGAAGATGTCAGGTAAAGGAGGGGGACACGCATTTGACTGAGAATCGGCCCACTCGGATTTTTTCATTTCGGATGACCGAGTTTACTAGAAAAATCATGTTTTTATTATGACCACTGATAGATAGACGATGGAAAACTGAATTGAAAGACATCCAAATCATATCTTCACTGCTATGTGTTAAAAAATGGCAGACCAAATTTTCATACGGTCACATGTTTAATGGGATACAGATCACAAAATTAAAATTCTTTTTGTGTGCTTAAAAGTTAGATTGCATCTCAGTTTATATGTATTTGGATAGAACATGAAATTCTCTACAAGGTAGTCGATTCATTTTTAAGATTTGTTTGGGCCTCGATTTTTATTATGTACCAGAGGTAAACCAACTACGGAAAAACGCGATATATTTTCAGTTTTACTATTTCTTACACTAGTAAACAAACAAGTACATTTTGTGTCATATGCCATTTTAAAGCGCGTCGAATTTCCTACAAAGTAAGCTATGTACGATATCTTGAGTTTAGTCTCTTTAGTTTTAGGCATGGTATCAGTTTTGCTGGAAATCCCTAGACTGGCATTAGGTGGCCTCGGATAACCTCTAAAGTAAATGGAAACGTAGGTTATCGACTGTACTGAATCTTGTGGCAATGTTTTCTTCCCGGAAAAGATGGATAAATCTAGTGAAACCGAGTTTTGGGGAAAATCCATCAATTCAGCTTTAACTGTACAAAAGTAATATACCCCAGTCCCCATTCAAACCGCTTAAACTTTCAGAAAATACTCCCTT